TTATATATATATATTTTATATTTTTTTATATATATATTATTATATATATATATTATTTATATAAAATTATTTATATTATATATTAATATATATATATATATATATATATATAAAATTATTTTTTGTTATATATATATTTATATATATATATATATAATTTATATATATATATATAATAATATTATAATATATTACATATAGTATATTATATTTATAAATATATATATATATATATATTTATATTTATTATATATATATATTTTTTATGCAATGTGATTTCAATTATCAAAAAACAAAAAAAATTGTGGTTTTTTGTGTCTTATCCCCAAAAATGTAGATATACCCTTTTCCCTTGGTAATTAAATAGCTTAGCCTTCTAAAAACTTTACTGTTGGTTTGGGGAAAATAAACCATTGCATTTTCTAGTTGTTTTAATTATTAAGGGTAATAATGAATTAAAATTTTAAAAATTTGGGAAAAACCTCAAAAAACTGTTCCTGTTTCCACTATTATTCCCGCATCAAGATGAGTTAAACTGTCTGTTTTCCATCAATGTTTTGGAAATTTTCGAATTTGTAGTCCAGAGTTCATAGATGAAGAAATATCCAAAATTTATGAAATAGGTAATGATTTAAAATACCCAAGAAGCGTAATTGATAAATCTTTTAAAGTTGCTAGAAATACTTTTACAATCCAAAAATGGACAACCACCCTTATTCAACTAAAAATATGTTGGTTCTCCCTTACCATCAAAAACTTGGTTGATATGCCTTCTTTTCTTAAGACTTTTAATTTTAAAAAGTTGTATTCAAAAATCTTGATACAGTAAAAAAACTTTGATAAAGAATTTCCCCCAAAATGCTGATGGATGTGTCTATAAGATTCCTTGTAAAATTTGCGATAAAGTTTATTACGGTCAAACTGGTAAAAATCTCGAACTAAGATTAAAACAACATAATATATTTTTGGGAAAACTGGACAAGATTCAATTTTTCTATTTATTCACGTGAGAGATTTTAACCATCCAATTGATTTTCAAAAGTGAGAAAGTTGTATCAAGCAAGTCCATGGTCGACAGGAATATAATTAAATTTGTTTCATAAAAAGCAGGTTTGACAATAAAAAGATATTTCCTTTGTTTATATATATTAGATCCATTTATAATTAATAGAACTTGAGGAGAATTTTAAAATAGAAAAATTTGGGGGAAAAAATAAAAAAATTTTTTAAATTTTTTTAAAATTCTTGGGTAGAATATTTTTTTGGGTTTGGGTTGTGTGAAGAAACCTCTAGTTGGGCCGCGGGCCCTGCTGCAGTGTTCCCTTATGAGTCGCACATCGGGGTTTGCCTTGTTTGGGTTTGGGATAGTGGGGTGGGTCTAGACCCTTTTAAAATCCCTTCCCTTTGATGCTTTCTTTTTATTGTTCTTTAAAATGGGAGTAGTCACGAAACATTTGGGAATTTCTCTGTTTTTTTTCACAGGGGTTTGGGTTTTGCATATTCAAAAATCCCCTTTTTTTTAAACTGTGATTTTTTTGAAAATAATATAATGAAAGAAATTTGTTAGATTTTTGTATTGGGGGTTTAAAAGGGTTTGTTTGGGTGGCTCCGGGATGTACAGGGTTTAAAAAAGGGGGGCCCAACTGATATATGGGAAAAAATTTTTTATTTTGTAGCTACAGTTAGTAAGGGGTAGAGGGAAAAGAGGAAGGTGGGCAACAAGAAGAGGGAGGGGGAAATGTAAAAAACAAGGGGGGGAGGAAGTTGGGGGCGAAAATAAAGGGGACTTTTGGGCAGAAAGGGGGGCTAGTGCAAAATAGGTGTGGGGGGGTTAAAAAGGGTTTGGGAATTTTTTTTTTAAAAATGCAGAAATTTAGAATTTTGGGGCAGAAGTTTTGTGGTTATAGGGGGGGGGGCAGGAGAAAGGGGATGATTGGTGGAATGATGAAGTAAAAGGGTTTTGATAAAAAAAAAAGGGTTAGCTTAGAGAGGTTTTTACAAAGCAGAAGGGGTATAAGAAGGGGCAGAGTATTTGGAGATAAAAAAAAAAGGGGAAGGGGAGTGGTGAAGATGAAAAAGGAGAGCAGATGAAAGAGTGGGGGGGCACTGTCAAGAAATTTTAAAAAAATAAAAAAAAAATTTGGGGGGAAATTTAAAACCAAGTTAAGAAAGCCTGGGAAAGTATGGATTTGTTTTTTAAAAAAACAGGTAGGGGAGTTAGTAGATGGGGAGAGGGGGGTTTATTAGGTAGAGGGCGAGAAAATTTGGGGGGAATTTTTAAAAAGGAAAGGAAAAAAGGGGAGGCGGTAATTTAAAGCATGGCCAGGAGGTTTTACCTTTTTTTAGGAGTGAAGAAGAGCAAATGTAAGGTGGGGGGGGGGTACGGGGGATTACTTAGAATAAAAGGGGGGAAAAGGCAGCGGGAAAATGATGGGACCCTGACAGAAATTTTAAAAAAAGCGGGGGGGATATAGTGTTGGAGTGGTTGGAACTTTTTTTTTAAAAAAATGTATGAAAGGGGGGAAAGGGTCCCCTAGGGATTGGCGGAGGCAGTATAGCCCCTTTTAAAAAAAAGGGGAAAGGGGCCCCGGATTGTAAAATTATAGAGGAATAAGTTTACTGAGTATCCCCAGGAAAGTAAAAGGGTAGGGTTAAATTAAAAAATTTAGGGGTAAGACGGGAATGTAAAATTGGGGGAACAGCAAGGGGGTTTTCAGGGGGTAGGGGAGCGAAATAAAGTTTTTTAAACCTTGAACATTTTGTGAAAGGATTAGAAAAGGGGGGAATTTTTTAAATTGCATTTAGGGAATTTTAAAAAAGGCATATGATAGATTTGGAAATAGGGAGCAAATGGGGCAGATTTTGAAAGTATATGGTTTTGGTGGAAATTACTAAATGCTGAAAAAGAGCTTTTTATGAGGATAGTGAGGCTCGGGTTTAGGGTGTGTAAAAGGAGAGGGAAATATTTCCCCGGAAAAAGTGGGGGCCCTTAGACAGGGATGTTTTAATGTCACCATGGTTGTTTAATTATTTATAGATGGGGTTGTAAAAGAAGAAAAGGGCTAGGGTTTCGGGAAAGGGGTGGGTTTAAAATTTGGGGGGAAAAAATTTTAAAAAGGGAAAAATTGACCGTTACTTTTTGCTGATGATACTGTGCTTTTTTGGGGGGATTCTAAAAAAAAATTTTCAAAAGGGTTTGTGGATGAGTTTTAGAATTTTGTGTAAAGGTTTGAAAGTTTAAAGGAAAAATAGAAAAGAGTAAGGTGATTAGGGGATAAAAAGATTTAGTTTAAAAAAAAATTGGGGGTATCAAAATTTGGGGAGGAGGGATGGAAGAAGTGAAGTTTTCAGATACCGGGAGTTGAAAGTTTTGGCGGTTTGGGTTTATGAAGGGGTGAGGTTTTAAACATAGAAATTTATGAGGGAAAAAAAAGGGGAAATGGTGCGTTGAGGGATAATTTGGGGTCCAAAAAAAAAGTTATCTAAAGGGGGCAAAGAAGGGGAAAGTATTTGGGAAAATATAGTAAATCCAAACTCTTTTCTGGATGTGAACTTGGGTTTTGGGAAATGCCAGCAGGAGAGGTTTTGGGGGCAGGGAGATGTCCTGTCTAAGGGAATGTTTTGGGGTTTAAAAATTATGCAAAAATTTGGGTGTGGAAATTAGGAGAAGGTGTGGAGTTTAAAAAAAACAAAATTTGTCAAGGGCCCAAAAGGGTTGTTGGGTTGGGTTTGGGCATTTTGAGAGAATTGGGTCAAAAAAGAATGACATGGAAAGCATATAAAAACTATTTGGGGAAGGAAAGGGGGGGTAAGGGTCCCTCCCCCGAAAGGGGGGGAAAGAGGGGGGAAGGGGGGTTTTTTTGGGGGGGGGCTTGGGCTTTCCCCCCAAACGTGCATGACGTGTTAAAATAGGAGTGAAAGGGGGACAAATGGTTTTTTGGGACCTGACGATCTTTTGGGAAATGTGGGGCCCGGGTAATATTTAGTGAAGGGGTTCAGGGAAACCGGTTTTTTTTCATATAGTCGGGTTGAGTCCCCGGAAATGGGGAAAATACAATGCCTGCCCCTTTTTAAAAAGGGGTTTTTGGGGGAAAATTTGGAAATTTTGGGGGGATATGTTGGGGTTTTCTATACGTAAATGCTTCAAACTGTTATTTTTCTGAGCAAAACCCCGCAAAAGCAGTGATTTAAAGTTGGAGTGTGGTGAAAAGTGTTAAGGGTGAAGAAAGTTTTATTTTTTGGGGGTTTTCCCTTTTTTTTTTTTTTGGGTCAAACCCCGCCTCGGTGGGGGACGACGACTTGTTTAAAAAATTTATATATATATAAAATTATATATATATATATAAATAAAAATTTTATATATTTATATATATTATATAATTTTTAAAAAAATAATATATATATATATATATATATAATGCCCAAGGAATTCGCGAGAGCAGGCGAAAAAATGCCCAAAAAATGAAACTCTGGGTGAAGGAGACCGAAACCCCACGAAACCCTTTTGGGCAATACGCAGTGCTTTACCCCAAACTACCCCACTGGACAATACCTTGGCGTGTAGCTTGCCACACGTTTTATCCAAAGGGACCCGTGTGGGTAGATTGGTTTAAAAACACTGCGACCTTGTCCTAAGGTTTCGTATTCGAGTCCCTTCTGCCCGAGATTTAAATGTTTTTAATAAATATTTTTTTTATTTATAAAATTTATAATATATATATATAAAATTTTTATCTATTTAAAATTTTTAAAATAAAATTATTTAAAAATACTTTTGGGATAAAATGAGCAAAACTCAAATGGGATTGAAAAGGGTAATATTGGCACCAGAGGTGGGCCCCCTTTTTTGTAAAACTGGATTTAAAAATTTAAACGAGGGAAAAAAGGCGACGCTTTTGTATTTTGTACGTGAACTATTGCATGTGAAAGAAAATAAGGTATTGTTACTTTTTGGGGAGGAGGGGGTTTTACTAGACGAAGGCAGAGGGGGGAAACGTTTCTTAGCTTATGTAATAGACAGAGACGTAGAGAGCATAGCGTGTGTATGGCTTGAGACCCGTGATCACTACAGACTTGCTTTCCTGCTTCTTGTACTCCAGGAAGATCCTTTCCCACAACCTGCACACACATTACCAGTTCTTTAGCTAATCTTTTGATATGTATACGAGAGGCAGGATAAGGCCTGGATTATGTAATATGCACAATAATAACATTGCTCGTACTGGAATTATCCATTGGAAACAATGGGCACATTACTTGGTCACATTAGTTATGGAATATGATTAGAGCTGCGCTCGGTACCTACGAAAAAATATTGAAGCCTCAAAAAATCTCAGATGAATAAGAAATGAATAATGCAAACTGTTAAACAAGATTTAATAATTAATTTTGATTAAGTAATTTTTATATCAATTGTTTATTTTAATAATTTATCTAAAATTGTTGAAGTATATATACACATGCAAGATAGACAAATAAAATAGACAATATTAAAATCATAGTAAAAAAAACACTCTTTAGTGTTATAATTTTTATAGATCATTGGTTAAACATATAAGGTACATATTTATTTACGAATCAATTTCTTAGGCAACAATTATGAAGGTGTTGTGTCAAGAGAGCTTCAGTAATGACGGTGAAGGGAGCTTGATCTAAAGAATTAGAGCTTCTCTCTCCTGCCTCAGATCAAACCTACTTACTTCACATTCCCGATGTGATGTTTGACCCGTAAGTGTTTACCGCTTCCCCGTGATGATACTAACAGAAGAACATGGAGCCAAATAGCGGTCTGTTAAAAAGACGTTGCTAAAGCTCTTATTGATACAATGTTTTGCTCTGTGTAGAGTTTGATCATGACATAGAGATGATCAACACAGAGTGCTAAGTTATGGGAGGAGAACTCTCCTAACTGCCTCTGTTTATCATATTTGTCTGAAAACATCAGTCACCCAATTGCTTATTCGTCAGCGTTATTCTCTTCCCTATACACTAATATGTTGGAACAGGTAACTACCCAATATACTAACTAATATGCTGAAACAGGTAACTTTCCGATATACTAATATGCTGGAACAGGTAACTTTCCGATATACTAATATGCTGGAACAGGTAACTTTCCGATATACTAATATGCTGGAACAGGTAACTTCCCAATTTACTAACTGTAGACAGCCTGAACTATCTGCATAGGCAGCCTATGCTGTCTGCCAACTGAATTCATATTTTGCGCCATGCTTGTGCTGCCACCTATAGGCCTATGTCACTTCAGTATTCCCAGACCTGCCTCTCTCACTCTCTCAGCGGCATTCACTCAGTCAACAAGGCCTACTCCTCTCTCCCTCGCGGGGCACAGCCCTCCCAGGCCATGGGCACTTAACACACTGCCTGTGTACCCAGATACCGCAAATAAAGTAAGAAGCCTCCGAAGTCTTATTATTACTCCCCGCTACCAAGTGCAACAAATTAACCCCTAATAAATGGTGGAAGCGGTGGTCACAGCAAGTGTGTTTGCCTGGAGAGAGGAAGGAAGAGGGATGAAATCGAGGGATGAAGTCGTCTTCACTGCATCACCCCACAAAAGAAGCTTGCGCCTCGTAACGAGTTATCTTGATGTCGTGTCTGCACGTTTCAGCATCCAGACACAGGTACACGCAGGATCCAGGCCGAAATTTGCAGAATTTCTCAGAGAAATATAAGTGGCGTCCCTGGGACTCCATGCCACAGCGCCCCATGCTGTTTCTCAAATCACATGTTCAGCAACACCTGTATGTTTCTGATGTTGGTTTCAGCTCAGCATGGCTATTTCAGCAAGTCAGAGGTGAGTTTGTGGTGACTTCAGCGTCCAGTGTGGGTGTTTCTCCAAGTGGGTATGTGGGAGAGGAAGCGGCCGGGTTCCTCGCCTCACTAACACCTAACCCGCCTACCACCACGTCACTATGTACTCACTCCCTCTGCGGTATTTTCTGCTGTTTTCCATGTGAATTCATTGCCAGAGCTGTGTATCCGAGTGCCCGAGGCCACTCGAAGCCACGTGGATCACTAAGCGATGTGTGGACGAAGCCACATGGATCACAAAGCCACATGGATCACCAATCCACGTGGATCACCAATCCATATAGATCACGAAGCAACGTGGATCACCAAGCCACATGAAGCAAGCCACGCAGTGTCGATGATGCCAATTGGAGCTACAAGCCATGTGTGGATCAAACCACATGGATCTGCAAGCCATGTGAGTTGAGCCAGATCCCAAACCACATGCTGTGGTCTGCTGCCACATCATTCCACTGACGTCACCTCACGATGTCACCGATGATGCTGCCCGACTTCACATCACACCAGGATGTCACCTCGAGACGTCCTGGTGTATATATATATATATATATATATATATATATATATATATATATATATATATATATATATATATATATATATATAAATATATATAATATATATATATATATAATATATATATATATATATATATATATATATATATATAATAATATATTATATATATATATATGTCATGCCGAATAGGCAGAACTTGCCATCTTGGCTTAAATAGCAACGCTCATCTTGCCATATAGGACAAGTGAAAATTTGTGTATGCAATAATTTCGCCAATATCATTCTGAAGCTAACAAAAAAAATATATTTCACTGTGTTTGTTTAGCATTAAATTATTGTAAACAAATCTAAAATATATTTAGTTGGTTTAGACTAAAATAAATTGCTCTTGTTATAATAAGGTTAGGTAAGTTTTCTAAGTTCCTTTTGGTGCAAAATTATAAATTTTTACATCAACATTAATGAAAAAAATATATCTTTAAACGTATAAGAGAAAATTTTAGAAAGAACTTAATTTTAAATGAGTTCTTGCTAATTGACCACTTTTACATATTCGGCACGACATATATACACACACACATATATATATATAATATATATATATAATATATATATATATATATATATATATATATATATATATATATTTATATATATATATATATAAAGTAGTCATAATTTCTACAGGGCGAGGTATCCGGTTTAGGGCCTTCCTCTGGGGGACTCCTTCCGGTTTAGGGGTGCGGCTGAGCGACTCCTTCCAGTTTAGGGGTGCGGCTGAGCGACTCCTTCCGGTTTAGGAAGGTTTCCCCTCCCACTTTCACCCCCCCCACCCCCATTCCCCAAAATTTCTCGATAATACAAGTTCTTGGATTCCCCCCTATGGGGGTTTCGAAATTCTTATGATCTCCTCGAATCAAGTTTTTTGGATCCCCCCTATGGGGTTTTCGAAATTCTCCATCTCCTTAGATCAAGGTTTTTTGGATTGTCCCTCCTTCCACCCCCAACCCCCACCTCAAATTTTTCTCGATAATACAAGTTTTGGATTCCCCCCTATGGGGTTTTTGAATTTCTTATGAGCTCCTCGGATCAAGGTTTTTGGATCCCCCTATGGGGTTTCGAAATTCTCCATCTCCTTGGATCAAGGTTTTTTGGTATCCCCCCCCCTATGGGGTAAGTATTCAAATGAACTCCTCCTTAGGGCATCTACTCAGATAAAAAGTCAAATGACTCAAGAAGTTTTACTTGCATTGACTCACCCAACAGTTAATATCACCTTTGATACTCACATAAACACACCTTTGAAACTTTACCTTTTCTTAAAAATTTGGACATAGTACTACTTCATAAAACATTTACTCTTCCAATTTCATCATATAAAGTCATTTTTTTTCGTTAATACCACAATTCTTTTAAAATACCTTATCAATAAACTAAACTCAACTCGTTTAATAAGGGACTAAGTACATCAGAAAATCACAAAACTAACTCAAAACTTTTACTTTGAACATCACAAAAACTCTCTATCATTTGAATACTTACATAACACTTTGAACACCTTCAAAACACCTTTTGAACACCTTCAAAACACCTTGAACATTTTCAATACATGAAACATCAAAAACATTTGAGTATCCCAATTACCCACTGAATACCTAAAACACCCTGAATTCATAAACACCCTTCAACACCTTCAAAAACACCTTTGAACACCTCAAAACACCTTTTAACACCTTAAAAACACTCTCATAATATTTGAATCTCATTAACACTTCTGAATACTCAAAACACTAACACCTCAACCCACTTGCACCTTCAACCCCTGTCACTTCAAAAATTATCCATTTTAAACACATCTCAAAAGTCACTTTGAAAACTTTGAACTTTCAATACACTTTTTTGAGTATCCCTAATATTGACATCTCTAATTTTCTGATTACCCATTTCATTAAATTACAATTTCCTATCTAGACTATTTTTTTTTTTCCCTTTATTTCTATTTAAAGTTATTAACACATTTACAGTATAAAATTTCACATAAATCCTAATCCATAACCACTTACTTTGCATTCCCATAAATTATATATTTTGATACTCACATAACACCTTAACAGTCAAAATTTAATATCTTTTTAAAATCTAATTTATACATTTTCTATCATCTTTTTTTGTAATTATTCACTACATTACCTTTCATTATCAAAAATTTCTCTTATTAACTAATGTCATACTGTACCAGATTTCCCACAAAAAAGTCTAGCACCTAACTCACACCACACACACACATCAAGCACAACCCCCAACCCACAATTTTTTCCTCGTTTAACTAATTTCATCAGAAAGTCACAACACACAAACCTCAACACCACAACACCCACAACACCAAACCCACAACTACCCACAACACCAAACCCACATGCACCACAACACCCACAACCCACACACCCCACAACACCCAATTTTTTTCGTTTAACTATTTCATCATGAAAAGGCACAACACCACAGCCCACTTCACCCAACCACATCAAACACATCCCACAATTTTTTCTCGTTTAACTAATTTCATCAGAAAAGTCACAAAAACACCACTTATATCATCTTTTCGGTATCTCTAATTCGACTACTTACCCACAACCCTCATCAATTACCTATTTATTCACATTTTTTCCCCCTTCTTTTTACTGAATCTTAAAAGTAATACACATTCCTCCCTACAGTACTAAAATTCTAAAAAATCCTCTCCATTAACCCATCTCCTTGCATCC